CACTCTCCAATACCCACAGATTCATGTTTCACTTACACTCCACTGATAACAAGGCTACTTACCATACATGGACACACACATCAACAACCATCAACATCGTATAGAAAGACGGAAGTTTTCTTAACCTCTGCGTCTTCTTCCATCTCTAGTGGTAAAATCTATTCGTCTTCTCAGACATTTTCTGATATTAAGTATAGTTTCGTTCAGCCTATCATCATAAACTCTATTCAAACTCAATTATAGAGGCTAAAATATAATTAATTTTGTCACACCATGATGCGTAACTGCACCATTGATGAGCATGGTTGCATGGTGAGCAAGAGAGAGAGAGAAAGAAAATGATAGACAGAGTAAAAGAAAGAAAGAGAAATAGAGAGATAGTATTCAAATATTCATTTCTCTGGTGTAAAAGTGTAGCTGTAAGGTCAAATTCATAAAAAAATGAATATATTTTGTTTTTATGGATGTAACAAACATATAATACATAAGATATACAGGTTGTAAAGAGCTTTCTTCTTGTAGGTATTAATGAATTCATTCTTATTCATATAAAACATTGATTTATTGCTTCTTAATCCCCCCCCTCTCATCCATTCCATCTCATTTTTTTTATTATTTAATCCTTTTGTTTTAACCATGTCATGATTAGAGGACAACGACGTAGACGGCAATAATGACTGGACCAACACGAGAGAATGGTTTGATTCAATGGTATACGATTTGTCAAGTGATGGATGTGGAATTGATCCAATTAGGAATCCCTGAACGATTTGCCACCCTTGTACGTGATGAGGTAACAAGCTGTAATCTGTCAATATCTGTCAATAATGATATCTTTATCAGTTTATTGTTAACTTTGTCTATGATGGATTAGTAGTTGAACGTCCATACAATTGGATTGAAGCTTCATCAAATCTTTTCAATGGAATGGCTGTATCAAGTGTTGACTGGGAAACAGTAGTTTCTAACTGGTCAGGTGTCATCCGTCTATGGGCTGTACGTGGATATGGTCGTCAATACTTTGAGAACAACGAGAGAGAAGAAGAAGACTAATCATATTAGTATATAATATCCAAGTCCCTCTTATAATATAATGAAAACAATTAGAATAGTTATAATACTAAACGCATCATATGTCCATATATGTTCTCATATACCTAAATCTCCCCTTATCCCCCCCCCTCATCCCGAGTTCTCTGTTTCTTTCCCGGTGTTGTAATTTGAATAACGGAAATGAGATAAGTACATGTAAGAATTCTACATAAGATCATTATTCTTTATATATATATATATATCAATATGAATATCATTATCTATTGAATTGAAATAAAAATATAATTTATTGACAACCATGTTGATGTTTAGATGACAAGGACAATGCATTCGAATATTCAGACCCCATGTGACTTAAGCGACAGACAGCTTTCAATTATAACAACCAACTTTCAATATGAACTCTTTATGAATATTTCATTGATTATTTCTAAGAAACTCCTCTTTTTATAAATAGAGAGAGAGAGAGATGAGAGAGTGAAGAGAGATGAGAGAGTGAAGAGAGAAAGAGAGAAAGAGAGAGAGAGAGAGATAACTATTTACTTTCAGATGTCTATAATGGAATAATTTAAATACGGCCAACTTCTTAACTTGAGTTTGTTAATTCATTTCCAATTCATGTAATGCCTTATGGGTGCTTTACGACGGGTAATATTGAGGGCTTTCATCCCCGTTTTATGCAACGAGTTAAGCTTGTTCAGATTTAATTTTTAATTGTATTTAATTGGTTTTGAGTGCCCTAGCAAAAGCTCTTAAATCTTTACATGCACTTACATATAGAAGAAAGAAGAGCAAACTTCCGCTTGATAATTCATATTATTATAATCTCTTTCATTTCTTGCCGCATCACCAAATGGAACAGTTTTTGAGAGCGTCCTTATGCGCTGCAATGAGATTCTCAAAATATATAATGAAGATAATGAAGAAGCTGACATTCTCTTTGATGTGGGATGATGGTTGTTGATGTGTGTGTCCATGTATGGTAAGTAGCCTTGTTATCAGTGGAGTG